TCCCGAGAGTGCGCAGAACGGGCTAGAAATCATCCTTCAATTTAAAAATGACATGAACAACAAAAACGATTGGGGCTACGCACTTGGCAGCTTCTACTTTGGGATCAGACGAAGCATTTTTGTCGTGGATCACAAAATCGAACGTGATGATTCGCTCACTGGAGTCCAGGTCTCTCCTTCGTCTGGAGTTTGTCCCGCAGTAGACTTTAACGTTTTCCACGACGCAGTCCTGGCCCTGACTGACGCTACACAACGCATAGTTGGCTAGTGGACTGTTTTTCACAGCATCCAGGAAGTTAAGTCGGATTCGCGTCAAGGCCTCTTGCTCGTCTGCGGAGCAAGAGCCTGTGTAAAACGTGAAATTCTTCTTTGCGGCATTCACGTTTTGCTCGGCTGTTGAAGAAGTTCAAAGGTACTCTTCATTACCGCCTTGACAGTACAAGATTGTCTTTGTTACTGTTAAGGTGTAGGCATTATATGAAACGCCAAAAACAATGGGGTAGTGACGGACTGTTTACAGGGAGTAGCCTGTTGTGCAGGCGTAAAGAGGAAGGGGTAGACAGTCCCACCTCGCCCCGCTCTCCCTCTCTGTTCTTTCCCCGTTTTATGCCTGCTACGCAGTCTAGTGCGGGCGTCGGGGTTAGAAGTTCAAGTGCCGCTCTGACCACTTACTCCATGGAGTTGGTTGTTTCACGGTAGTTCCAATTTCAACTCAGTTTCCAGGCCACGTTTGTAAACAGACGACTACTTCGCTCCCNACTGTAAAATGGTCTGTTGAGGCGAATGCTTATGAAGCTTGACAAAGTTTTATGTGGTATATTTTAACCCTCTTTTTTGGCCTTGACCGTGCACAAGTCACAAAAGGCCACGTTTGATATATCAATATTCTAGTAGGGCTCGGACACTTTCAGGACAAATTTCTATATTAATGTTGTTTTCTTTGTATCCAAGTCTCTTTTGGGAATCGAGAGATAAAAGAGATCCGAAAGCCTCGGAGCCATGTTAGAATGTTGATATATCGAACGTGGCCTATTGTTGTTCGCTCCTGACTGAGGAACTAACCAATAGAAACATGTTGGTTACGTAATTATGTACAGTGCCTCTGTTTCAAGACGAGTCCTTGTGCAAACCTTTCATATGAAAATGAGTTTGTTTGCATGAAAATGAACCTTTACGCGGAACATATTTTGATATGAAAGGTTTCGCGCTAAGACTCGTTTTGACACAGAGGCAAAAGGCAACTCGGACATGGTCTATCTCCTCTATGAGATACACCTGCAGGGAATCATAGTAGTTGTCTTCATCATCTTGAACTGGATATTTGTTTTGATGAATACAATTACCATGATTCTCCACAGGCGTGTCTCATAGAGGGAATGAGCCATCAAGCAATACATCAAACACGAGAGACAGTGTTCCATCGAGATATCCAAACACCGAGAATAGAGTTGTTGGGATTATCTTTGTTTTAACTTGATGAATTATTAATGAGTTTGAGAACTATGGATGAGTGATCACGATTTTAAAAGGCGTCATAAAATATCGCACTCTCTCGTCGCAGAGCAAATTAAAATGCAGCAGTGGTGTGATGGGAACTGCGAAGTAAAAAGGTGGTGCACGAAAGGACACGTATCATATAAAAACTTTTAACTTACGTCCAACTTCCACGAAGAATTCACAAGTGGCTTTATTTCCAGCCCTGTCGCTGGCCTCGTACAACACTTGATATCTACCCCAAGGGAAAATAGCACCCGGGTTTCTGTTACTAGTTATTAGTAGCTGTACCGGAGGCTTGTCGAAGTTGTCCTCGAACGCTGGATAGACCCACGTGACACGTATTTCATTTTGATTAGTTTGTTTCTTGATGTCTTTTGGACACGAGGACACACGAGGACGTTCTTGGTCCGAGAGTCAAAAGTTAAACAAGAAAGCGTTAACTTTGGTACATGTAAAAAGTGTGGACCCTATTAGTTTCTTTTGAACTAAATACCCTTTGACACTCAAATAAAGTCANGTTAAAGTCAAATCATGTAAAACGCACCTTTACAATATGAACTCCATGGCGTAGACCACTGACCAGTCGCTAGACACTCGCGGCTGTCTGGTCCTTCCAGCTGAAAACCATTAACGGTGTCACACCGAAGTAGACAAATAGAAGGACACGTTTGGGAGTTGGCTCGACAGTCATCTCGGTCCCAGCTTCCATGGGCCGGATTTGGCAGCGCAGTACAAGTGACGACTAAGTAGAAAAGTAGAAACGAAATGTGCTAAGTTTTGCTTGATGTCTCCGTTGCATAAATTAGTTGAATTATGACTGTTCTGCCAATACACAAATTAAGAGCATAAAAGTAAAACCAAGGCGAGGGAGAACAAAAAGAGTAAAGGAGGCCATATTGTGGAGCAATTGATCATGAATTGAAACAGATATCGAAATAACTATTACTACAGAAAACGCAAACCCAAAAGTAACAGCAAGAAGAAGACGAAGCACCCAAACAGCAGCAGCAGTAGTAGTGGTAGTAGTAGCAGCAACAACAAGAATAACGACAACAACAGCAACAACAGCAAAAACTACAATAACAACACCAGCAGCACAACAATGACAACAACAACAACAACGACAACAGCAGCAACAAAAACTACAATAACAACAACAGCAACAACAGCAAAAACTACAATAACAACACCAGCAGCACAACAGTGACGACAATAATAACAGCAGCAGCAAAAACTACAATAACAACAACAGCAGCAGCAACTGCAAAAACTACAATAACAACAACATCAGCAACAACAGCAAAAACTACAATAACAACAACAGCAGCAACGATGACAACAGCAATAACAACAGCAGCAGCAAAAACTACGATAACAACAACAGCAGCAGCAACAATGACAACAATAACAACAACAGCAGCAGCAAAAACTGCAATAACAACAACAGCAGCAGCAACAACGACAACAACAATAACAACAACAACAGCAGCAGCAGCAACAAAAACAATAACAATAACAACAGCAATAATAACAACAACAGCAGTAGCAACAANTCCATGGGCCGGATTTGGCAGCGCAGTACAAGTGACGACTAAGTAGAAAAGTAGAAACGAAATGTGCTAAATTTTGCTTGATGTCTCCGTTGCATGAATTAGTTGACTGGCAATACACAAATTAAGAGCGTAAAAGTAAAACCAGGGCGAAGAAGAACAAAAAGAGCCAAAGAGGCCATATTGTGGAGCAATTGATCATGAATTGAGCCAGATATCGAAATAACTATTACTACAGCAAACGCAAACCCAAAAGTAACAGCAAGAAGAAGACGAAGCACCCAAACAGCAGCAGCAGTAGTGAGTGGTAGTAGTAGCAGCAACAACAAGAATAACGACAACAACAGGAACAATAGCAAAAACTACAATAACAACACCAGCAGCACAACAATAACAACAACAATAACAACAACAGCAGCAACAAAAACTACAATAACAACAACAGCAAAAACTGCAATAACAACAACAGCAGCAGCGACGATGACAACAATAACAACAGCAGCAACAAAAACTACAATAACAACAACAACAGCATCAACAATGACGACAACAATAACAACAGCAGCAGCAAAAACTACAATAACAACAACAGCAGCAGCAACAGCAAAAACTACAATAACAACAACAGCAGCAGCAACAATGATAACAATAACAACAACAGCAGCAGAAACTGCAATAACAACAACAGCAGCAGCAACAACGACAACAACAATACCAACAACAGCAGCAGCAGCAACAAAAACAACAATAACAGTAACAACAACAACAATAATAACAACAACAGCAGTAGCAACAACAACAACAGTAGTAGCATCAGCATCAGCAATAAAAATAACATCAGCAACAGCGACAACAATAACATCAGCAGCAAGAATAACCATAGCAACAACAAAACATAAAACAACAACAACAACAAAAACAGCAGCAGCCAAGCTGCAACGATAACGATAATAATGAAAGCAACAACAGAAACCACTACAAAAACACAAACAACATTAACAAAATACACTGATAAAGACAGCTCCGACATCAGATCCCTAAAAGGGATTATAATATTTAGCTTGAAGGACTAAGGTTCCCCTCTTACTCTTTTCTCTAGTTTCAGTCTGAGGAGATGCGCATGTCTGCGGTCCCACACCGTTACAATTGTCCTGTCTGTCGGTGTATAACCAAGTCAGTGCATAGCTCCGGGTACGCTGCTGAGAGGCGCAGTGACTTGCACTGACAGGTGAGGGCAGATCAGCCCAGGAACTCCACGACCCCAGTGAGCATGATACATACTTGCACGAGCCTGTAGAAAAGGAAAATTACGTTTGTCTTGAAATTTATTTCTTTCAGTTACGTAATATTAGAGAGTTTCAGAAACCATGACGGCGACGCCGAGGACAACGTTGATTAAAATATGAATTTTTATTTTACTTACGACTCTCGTGGTACTCTAAAGTCATTTACTTTGTTTATTACTGTCAAAACTATCAGGAAACTAAATCTGGAACACAGCTATAAATTTAAAATAGAAATTTAAACAAAAATTAGCCGTTGTGGTTCACATTCTCTAAGCAACGCAGAATTTGGTCATTTCACGTTGTTGTTTTGCAGAGGAGGGCGAAGAAATGTACCAAGAATTATAACGCACGTGCACAGCCAATGCGTTGCTCATTAAATCTTTTGTTTAGTGACGTTCCCGTTGCTGTTGCCGTCGTTTATTTTTTTTTCAACTTCCTATTCAAATACGATAGACAGTGCTTCATCACATTTCTAAAAACTCTGAATTTAAGAGAGTTGAAAATGCAACACACAGCGGTGCATATTTGACGAACTTCGAGGTCTTTGAAAATGTCATAGTACTCCGTATGTTTGATCTATCTTCGCAAAGGGGGGTTGAGATCGTAGAAATCTATGCTTGTTGTAAACTGAACTTACACCAATCCCTGTAGTTGTACTGCCTTGATCCACACGAGCTCGGGATGCCGTTACAATTGCCTTCTCGCACATCATACCTGGTGTGTTGATTGTAGTCGCGGTAACGGCTCTGACGTCCGCATGTCCCTTGAGCTATTGATCCTGTCCAACTAGACCAACCATGGAAGGGGCAGTAGTAAGCATTCGTACAAGAGCCTGCAGTGTAATACCGTGTTATTAAGATGAAGCCTCATGGAAGATTTTGATTGCGAAGATGGTTTGTACAACTAGCAATTAACATCAGAACTGTAAATAGCTGACAATGCAACTCAAAATGTGTCTCTTTTCTTCTGTTTGGTTGTAATTAAGTTTCTGAAGACCTACAGGTTCATAGTTTCGGCGCTAAACTCAGATTTTCTGTTGGAAAGGCTAGGAGTATTACTAGAAGTTTATTCGATGTACACACCGTTCGTCACCTAAGGAGACCTAACGGCAAGTGCTTTAGACTCCGGATTGCTCAGTCACGGCT